AAAGTGTCAAGAACAAATTCTGATGACATCAATCGGGATATCTCAGTAGCTCAAGGCAACACAAGAGGCAATTCTTTAGGATCTGTCTGCTGTTTGCTAGACCACCAGCCATGCTTACTTGCAAACTCCTTCTTTAGGGCCAAAGCTGGTGATGTCTCTTCACAAAGTCCTGCAGACCAGATGCCTCTCCATGACAAACCTTTCCTAATAAAATATGGATAAAGCTAGAGGTGAGGAAGTATGGCCATCCCCTAAGTACTCCCTACCCTTGCAGAGACATAGCCACAACAGTGGTATCCAAGGCTGTTCAAATCCTTCCATTCTCCTTCCATTCCAGATTGTAAGCTAGTGTTGAAGCAGAGTCAGGACAGCATAGTTACTAAAATACTGGTATTAGACAAACCTATATTTAAGCCCTACACATCTTTGGTAATAATACCTATATCTTTTTGGGTTCAAGTCAACCCCAAAAGCTTTTTACACACTAGTACATGATCAAATAAAAGGGAGCTACTATTGTCAACACATAAGAAAGAGGAAAGGAAAATGCCATTTTCTGAAAACCTACGATAGCCCAGGCACTGTGCTGCTAAGTTACGTATTTTGCCTCATTTAATCCTCTAACGATCATGGAAAATAGTAAACGTATTCCTGTCTTACACATGAGGAAACTGACTCATGGCACTCAGTCCTTTGTGGGCTCCACTTTCTTCTTCCATGTTCTACTTGCCTGATTTCACTACTTTACAAGAATAGTAACTCATATTAACTCCAATTCTTCTTTAAATAACTTAACCTTAAGAATAATGAAATGTAAGCCATCCAAATTTGTGTATGTATATATACAAATTATATATATTTTAAACATATATAGAGACAGAGATTTTTTTTTTAATACTTTAACCCTGAGCACAAAGCAGCAACAGAGGGCACAATGGACTGAAGTAACTGCAGTGTGGTACACAGACATCAAAGACTCTTCCTAGACACACTTCAGATGTGACTATTCCCACACTACAGCATGAAAAACTCCAAGGAGGTGGAGGCACAGTCAGCTCTTGCTCAAGTCCCCAAATGTGGCATTTCCTTCTACAAATCTGGGTCTTGGCAAATGTTGCTCCCTCTATGTTAAAAAGGCACTGCCATTTTTCACCAGCAAATTAACACTTTCTTTAAAACCTGGCTAAACCCCACCCTTTTCATAGATTTCTCTGCTACTCCATGATAAAGTTAATGGCTTCCATGTGACCCAGCAGCACAGTTTACTCTAAGTTCGTGACTTTTATCGTCTCACTATACAGTGACACATTAAGTATCTGTCTCTTCTGCTACTAACAATGTTCAAAGAGGAAGGAAGGATGGAGGGCAGCAACAGAGGCATCCATGTGCATGTAAAAAGAGGCATCCATATATGCATAAAAAACATATTTTGTAACTTTTTATTTTCTTGTCAGATGCTTTCTTGCATTTTAAATTTTCACACAGCTTGAAAGAGGAACACAGAGTTTTAATCTAAATGGCACATGAGTTTTAGAAGTCTGAAAAACACAGAGTTGGCTTCTTAAAAGCAACAATTATATTTTATTCATTCTTTATTCCCAGCACAGAGCCAGGCACAATTTAGAAAATAAAGACTTGCTAAATTAATTAATATGCACAAAGCCATGATGGCAACTACTCTAGAAGTAGAATGTGCTACAACAAAGAAACTAAAGTACACCAAAGCTAGCTAACTTCCTTCCATCCCTTCTTTCCCTTTCTACAGCCCAACCATTCTCTCTCCAACAGAAAGGGAGAGACAGAGACAGAGAGAGGTAGAGACCGAGAGAGAAAGACACACAGAGAAAGAATGACTCTGCCTTGGTGTAGGAATACTATTAAAAGGATTAATTTAGGGAACAGTGTTTGGACTGTCACATCCAATCACTGCACACAGATCTACAGCTTCCCAAATCAGGCTCATGCAAAAAGGAATCAATGGCAAGGACACAGAGGGCCTGAACAGGCATACTAATGGGCTCCTGAGGTGCCAGCGGCCAGCTTTGACACTCCCATAAATTATCTGCCTTTTGATTTTACCTGTAGCTGTGGGGCACAAGGCACAATTTTGAACATATCAAAGCAATCCCTCCTAACCCAGGGTTCCCCAAGGAATATCCCCCAAAGGAGGAAGAGGCCAAAAACAACAACTAAAGGGAATCTGCTTCCCAACAGGTCTGGTCCTCAAAATCACCAATTAAAACCCAACAGAACCCAATAGATAAGGCAGGATTTAAGCAAAGTCGAGAGACATGGATGGGGCATGTATCACACTCTGCAATGAGTATGCATCTCTCACTCAAGAGAGGAGAAGGCACAACAATCAACTAGCACAATTCCATCTGAAGACAAGTCTGCACTAGCTTTAACAGTACCTTAACCTTCTTTGGCCCCAGTTTCCTCACTTGGTAGCAAGGTCTACCAAAGTGGATCACATGTCTCACTTCCCAGAGTGGGAGGGGAAAATGGAGGCACTTTACAGAAATGCAGGGCCAGTAATGTGACAACACTAATAAATGACCCCAAGGAGTCAGACAGTCAGCAACATGGGTGAGTCTGGTTTGGGAAACTGCTTACTCCACTCACTTTACTGATGGTGTGAGGACTATAGAACTTTTACTATGTACACATTTTCCACAGTGAAAAACAGTGCCTGGCTTTAGTTGTAACTGCCTCCTGTAGGCCAGCTAAGCTTTTACTATATGAAAACTGCGGACTCAAAGCTTATGAAGCCAAAATTCTATCACCCAACTCCCTCCTGCTTTTGTGCAGAATATTAGCACACTTGCCTTTAATCCCAGCACTTGAAAGGCAAAGGCAGACAGATATTTATGAATTTGAGGCTAGCCTGGTCTCACAGAGTTTCAGAGCAGCCATAGTAAGAGCCTGTCTAAAAATTAAACAACCACAACAAAACAATCAATACACTACGAGCTTTGTCTACACGATTAAAGCCTTCAAACAGTGCTATGTAATCCCACTATCTCCATTTTAGACTACAACGTGAAGTTCAGAGAGGTAAGTCACTTGTCCAAGGTCACAGAAACACTACTATCAGAAATCTGTAGGCTTCCCTACCTCACCACAAGTACCAGGAGGCTCATAGGAAGAAAAAGAAAGAGGGAAAGGACAGAGTGGGATTCTGAGCTCTAAACTACTCATACTCAACAACTTTACTGTGCCCTCGGCTTAAAGCACACTATCACACCTGATTTGGTAGTTCCAAAATCAGGCATGAGTTATCAGTCTGCTACAAGCAAAGAAAGAAGAGACCAAGGGACATATAGCAGGAGGACCACTGCCTAGACAGCTCAGGAATGAGGGCTCAAGGGCTCCATTTGGTCCATACTTGAGTCAACATAAAATAGTTCCCAAAACATTTTAATCTGTTATATCCTGATTCTCTTCCTTTAAAATCTTTTTGCCCCTTCAATCCACTCTTCACACTAATATCAAAACAAGCTTTCTACATCACAAATCTCATAATTATAATCTTTTTTTGTTTTTGTTTTTGTTTTGCTATGTAGCACAGGCTGGCCTTAAATTAGCTACCCTCCTGCCTTAGCCTTCCAATTACAGGATATACTGCTACCCTGAGCTGCTTACAATCTTTTAATTTTACTCTAATCTTTAATCTTACTGTTCCAATTTAGAGACAGGCAAACTATGGTCCATGAGCCAAATCCAGGTGCCACCTGCTTTTACAAATAATTTTTTCTAGAACATTCTCATGTTCACCTTCATACCCTCCACAGCTGCTGCAAAGCTCCCTACAGGCTGAATAGTTTTAAAAGAGTCACAAAGCCTAAGTTTGTACTCTGTCCTTAATAAGAAAAGCTTGCTAACCTTTAGTCTTTATACCCTCCACCTACCCACTCTCACCCCAGCATCTGACCAGAGTTTCTAAGGCCCTAGACGCTGTTTTCCTTTCCTGCTTCATTTTCCATCTGCCTTTTAGTCACACTGAACTTCCTCAAACTCAACAGAAGTTATGATACTTGGTCCCTCATGTTTATTTAATTCCAGGTAAGGGGGTTGATTCCTCTGAAAAGCCACCTCAGAGTCTACAAGTTCACATTAAGGACACTTCTACAGTGCTATTGGGGGTATCATAAGTGCTGTATTACTGTTGGCCCTGCTATGGATCTTAAAGCTCTGGACATGATGGGCAGTCTTGTTTTCCATTATAATCCCAGTAACCAGTAAAATGTCTGGGCCTTAGTTACTGAACAAATAACTTTCAACTCCATGAATATCAATCATCAAAAGTCCACCTTTTTAGTTGGTCCAGGTCCAAGTAGGTGGGAACTCTTCACTCAAGGTGACACACAACTCAAATTAAACCCAAATCCCAAAGGTTTGGGTCAGATATATCACAAGAGTCACATGAGAGGTGGTCTTACTGTTGAATTAAGATGAATATTTCTCAGAATATAGGGCTATTCCAGCTCTACTCAATTACCCTAAAGGCAACTGAGGTGTCCATTAAAAAAAAAAAAAAAATCCATGGCTGGACACAGTAGTCCATGCTTATAGTCTCAGTTCCCAAGGAGAGTCTGAAGCAGGAGGACTGCAAGTCTGAGGCCAGTCTGGTCAATTTAGTTACGATCAAATATAAACAGGAAGGAAGGAGGGAAGGAAGGAAGGAAAGAAGGCAGGCGGGCGGGCAGGCCAGCCAGGAATATTGTTCCCTGGTGGCACACTGCAAAGTCCTGGGTTCATTCCCCACTACTGAGGAGATTTAAAAAAAAAAAAAAGCAAGTCATGACAGAACTGGAGAGTCGAGATCGCTCATCTCCAACTCTCACTCTAAAGCTTTTGGTGAATTTCAGTTTCACTAAGTTTGAGCACATGCTACCTTACCAGAAGCTACAGAACATTATCATCTGTAGCAGCTCCATCCCATACCAACCAAACCCAACAGTCAGACACCAAACGTGATCATGCAACAGGATTCTCACCTCTCCTTACTTCGAAGATGCCAAGACTGGCAGCTGGAGACGCTGAAGGGTCTGTGAGAGCTGGAAAGGCCCAGTGCTGTGGACAAATACACATCTCTGCAACAGGTATCTTTCAATTCAAAGGTTCAAATCCTCAGTAAGGGTCACTCTTAAACTCATAAATTCAAACTATATTGAAAATATAGTGCTCTCTGTGGAAAGACAATGGCCCCTACAGGCCTTTCAGATGCTATTAACAGATGTGTGTGTGTGTGTGTGTGTGTGTGTGTGTGTTTGTGTGTGTATTTACTAGTGTATATAATATACTAGTTCATGTTCTCTAGTATATTATCCGCCTTGAGGAAGTTTATCTTCTAGAAAAACCAAGTATTCATAATATCTGAGCCTCAACTAAGAATGATTATCATGAGGTGGTGGTTCACTGGGCAATTTCCGAATCCTGTCAGAAAAGGACATGAGGCTTGAAATATTCAGAACTCAGGAACTGGGGCTGAGCCAGGACTGGAGAGAAGGGTTCATTGCCACAAACCTATAGGCAGTAACTACTGGAATGGAAGCACAGAACAGGAAACACTTTCAAAATACTTCCAAGTCTGCCTCAAATTCTAAGAAAGTCAAGGTAGCCAAATTCCAAGTCAACACACCAAGGGAGCCAGGCATGGGCAGCAGATGCAGGAAAGGCCAGCTGGGTCCACACATCAAGACCATCTACAAATATTTTTTAAAAATGAGAGCATCAAGGACTGTCTATCATATTTATCACCTAATTCAGATATTCTAAAGGACCAGAAATCACAGCCATGATTTTGGAAGCTAGTGAAGCCCAGGGCGCAGACCCTTCTAATTCTGTCTACTACTCCACACACTAAGGCTTCCTCCATCCTGATCCCCCTGGGAACAGGCCACTTCCCAATTTATCCCACCACGGGGTAAATGTTTCAAAATGAAATGGAATAGGAACACTTTTATTTGGAAATTTCAAGTTGGAGGGAGCTCTTAGGCAAGTTCTATGACCTAGCTAGCTGATTATTTACAGGATCTTTGGGCAGGAATTGTTAATGAGCTTTTAATTTGGAGTGCTTAAGTTGCCAAAGTGCTCCGAGCTCCAGTGAAGCACCACAGAATCCATAAAGGAAACCTTATCAATCACTTCCCGGCAGCTCCCTTCCCCCATTCAGCACCTGCTGACAGGCAGTCAAGTGGGTTTCTAACCAAGATCACAGGCACACATTAGCGGAGTCACACTCCGAGTCACTGTTTATAAATTGGCTTTTAAATGGTAGGGGATTCAAGTATAATATACCTAAGGTCCAAGAAAGAGCCCACTAAAACAAGGTATACCGTGTATGATAGAGTCAGAATAAAGCTGAATTTGATGAAGCCAGTTTCTGGTACAAACTCTACGGTCAAAAATCATTCAGCCAATCACAACTGACTATAGTTAAATAGATTATAGTCTTTAGCCAATGGGATTAATGTTTTTGCTGCCCTTACACTGGGAAACCCATGAAATGCACTACCAAATGCATGCCACAGAAATGGCCACAAACAACTGTTGGTCCTACTTGTTACAAAGTCCAGTCTGAGGGACAAACTCTGTATCCCCAGATGAAGGGCCCACAGATCAACATTAAGCAGTGGGCATTTTGCAACAATTCAACCCGAGTCATGCTTTCTTTAAGAAAACACCTGTTGCTGGTCCCTTTTCACTAAAGGCACACAAAAAGCTATTCAGGTGAAGGCCCTTTCTCCAACTCTGTCCACCATCATTACTACCCACAGCTTGTGACTTACAAGGAAGTAAAGAGTTAACATGTGTGCGTGTGCCGGGGTGCAGAGGGAGTAGTCTATTTATCTACTAATTCCTCTGGCCAAACCCCCCTCTCTCTCTAGCAATCTCAAGTCAGGACCTTCCATCGACTCACCCAATCTGCCTTGAAAAGCCAAGCTCCCCCACAGGCCCCTATCTCCCCCTTAGCCAAGAGTTGGAACATGCACCCAGGGTGAGCAGAGACCAGTAACTCAGGCTGCCTAAAAGTATGCACGCCACGACCCATAGCCCGCATGCATTAACCAGGGCCCAACCTAAGGGCCCTCTCAATCTCACCCACCCCAGGGTGTTGCCCCCAGCTCGGGCCCATCCAGGTCCAGGGAAGAGTAAGGGGAGGGGCAGGGGGCCAGGAGACCAGCCCTCCTTCCCAGGGCCGCCCCCGCCCCCCGTCAGCTGCCGGAGAGGCTGTCGCCATGGCAACGCCCCCTCCTCCGGGCCAGCGCGGCAGGCTCTCTCCAGGTGCAGGCCCCGACGTCTCCCTCGACCTCAGCAGGCGCTCGGGGCAGTTGACGGCAACGGGCACGGCCCGCGCCGCCTGCGGCGCTGGCCAGGCAGAAGCAGGGCCAGCTCCGCCCGCTTCCCACAGCCCGTTCCAGGCCGCCTCAACAGCGGCAGCCAGCACCACGAGTCCACAACACACCGACTCACCTCCGCGCACTCTGACCCCGACCGACGCGGTGGACGGGCGGGCGTAGTAGCCAACCGCTGAGCCCGCCGCTGGCGCCTTTGGCCAATGAACTGCAACTAAGGCGGGGCCTCGTCTCCCCAAACGCTCTTTCTCCCGCTGACATGCGCGCTAAGGTGTGTCAAGATGGTGACCGTTGGCACTGGGCCTTCTGGGACTTGTAGTTTGGAGGAGACACGTATTCAGAAGAGAAGGGAGGGTCACTTCTAAACAGTGAAAGGAATTATCTTAAAAATAAATAAATGATAATAATAATAAAAAAAAAAAACAGAAAACTTCGCCAGGCCTAGAATGACCGAGGTGCTCTACTACTTTTCCCCACCTTCACTGTAGGCACTCGGTGAGTATGGGCTTAGGAGACATTCTCTTTAGTTGTCCCTTCTGTGATTCATTCGTCCTCAAGTAATCGTTATCTACTTTCTGATGTGGCCTGAGGGAGATCTGGAAAGAAGGGAGGCGAATTCAGCAAAGAAGAAAATGGTTAGATTTCTGAAGGGCCTCTCTAAGGAAGAAACTGCTGGCTTGTTGAGGCCTTCAGGGGAAATGTCAGGGTTAAAAAAATATTCTGGCACAGCTGTAGGGGGGCTTCCACGGTTTCTCCCGGCAGCTGGGGAAAACTCACACCTAAAGCGATGAGTGAGGGTCTCCATCTTAGCTAAGCTTCTCTGAGAAGTCATGGATACCACGTTATGAAATGGGAAGCTTCAGTCTTAAGCCACTGATGATTTTGACAGCCTCTCAGTCAGTCAGATCCATCTTAGGAGCCATCATCAGTTTCCAAGCTTTTCTGTCTGCCACCTGCTATTTTCACTTAAGACAGCTGATATCAGTTCTGGACCCTGGCACCTCTGAGATCTTAACATAATGGTTCCTGCCTGAGCTGGAAATGCCTGTAATCCCTATATCAGAGAATGTCTTCTTTAATCTCATTCACATAATGGGTTAGGTGGTTCTACTGTGAACCTACAGAACTGATCATAGATAGTGCTTTACAATTGTCTTGACTCCTTGCCATCTCTCTCCTGGGAATTTAAACTCGTTTAAAGATAGGTGTTATTTCCATATTGTCCATGCTGCATCCGTTATTATCCAGTATGGTGTCTGGCATAGAGCAGCTATGCAATAAAGTGTTTGTGAGAAATGAAGGAAGAAACAGCAGCGGAGACAGATATCACTCATTCCAAAGTCAGGAGAGTGGAGGCATGATTGCCTACTCACAATTCTTGGAACTGAGACTGGATCTTCTTCCTCCTGCTGTTACATAAACATTAATCTAGGTTGGTTCATTAGTCAACATGTGTTTATCAAATGGGCAGCTTCTCTTGCTGTTGATTAAATGGTATGACACACAAATCCTGTAGCCTCGGGGAGCTTTTATGTTGGAGAGGAAATAGGGAGGGGTGGACAATGAAAAAATTGAATATAAAAACTGAGTAAGACAAGTAAGAGGTCACAAGACAGTGTCTTCTTTTGTGTTTCAGTCGCTGGGATAAAACACCATCACCAAAAACCAACTCAGGGAGAAAAGAGTTTAGTTTGTTTATACTCATACATCACAGTCCATCACTGAAGGAAGTCAAGGCAGAAACTCAAGGAAAGAACCTGGAAGCAGGAACTGAAGCAGAGGCTATTGAGGAACTGGTGCTTTTTAATAGCACCCAGGACCTCTAGCCCAGAGGTGGCGCCACTCACAACGAGCTGGACACTCCCACTCCAATCACCAAGAAAATGTCCCATAGGCCGATCTGGTGGGGGCATTTTCTCAACTGAGTTTCCCTCTTCCCAAATGACTCTAGCTTGTGACACGTTGCCATAAAACCTGTGAAGACAGATAGCCATTCCTGTCTCTGGCTTGTCCCCAAAACAAAACAGAGATTTTCCTCTGCAGTAAGAATAAAGCAGGGCCAGGGAGAGAGCTCAGTGGGTTTCTGGGTATTCTGTGGCACTTGCCACCACCAAACAACCTGAGTTCAGTTTCACCGAGATCCGCATGACTGAAGGAGGGAACATACTCCACAAGCTGCCTGGGCTGGATACTAAGTTCCAAGCCACCTAGGGTACAGACTGAGACACCGAATCAAAAGAAAAGTAAGAGTCTCCTCAATGCACACCCTTACTGTTAGCACTTAGGAGGCAGACGCAGGCTGACCTCTGTGAGTTTGAAGCCAGCCTAAGCTAAATAGCAAGTAGCAAGTTGCGGGCTAGTCTAAGCTACACAGTGAGACCCCATCTTAAAAAAAAAAAAAAAAAAAAAAAAGTAGTTTAGCAGACAAAAATGCAGGAGAGAAAACTAAGTCTCTAGAATTAAAATATATATATATACAGAAAACATCGAAATGAGAAGAGAAAGAGAAATGAGACAAAAACTTGGAGAGATGGGGGAGGGGAGAGATTGATCAGAGGCCTTATTTTAAGACCCAGCCAAAACACCACCCTCAGTATGGCCTTTTGTCTGTCCTTTGATTGCCACCCAGAGTGCACTCTTTGCTCTGTGGTCTCTTAGGACTCAGATGTACAGCATGCCAGACAGCTCCAAGCCATACACACTCTTTGAACAAAGATTATAAAAACATATTCAAATAGCAGAGCACTATAAGAACTCCGTATATATTCATGTTTTTGCAAAGCTGCTCAAGCCAACCTTTGGCTCTTTCAAGCGCTGGCTCTTTGGTGCAGCTCTAGAACAGGGCTTCTTAAATTTTCTCCACTCACAGCCCCTTTTCGCTGGAGGGATTTTTATATGACTGTGGGTATCTAGGTATCCAGCCACACCTGGCGGTGCAGACCTGTAATTCCAGCTCTGTGAAAGTAACAGGAGAATTGAAAGTTCGATGCCTGTCTAGGTTAAAGAGCTAGTCCAAGGCCAGCCTAGACTTCATCTCTAAATAAAAAAGTAATAAGCGGGTTCAATGGTAAATCACTTGCCTAGTATGTGTGAGATCTGAGATTCAACTTCCAATACTGAAAGACTAAAATAAAAATAGATGTACAAGCCAACATTTATTGATAATAAATCATGTAAAATTTTATTTTAAAACAAGTTTTGGTATACATATAATTTTGGCATTTGTTAAGAACAAAAACTAGTTTCCAGGCCAGGCATGGTACCACACACCTTTACTCCCAGCTCTTGAGAGGCAGAGGCAGGTAAATCTCTGTGAATTTTGGGCCTAGTCTACATAGTGAGTTCCAGGATAACCAGGACTCTACTTGTGACACGTTGCCATAAAACCTGTGAAGACAGATAGCCATTCCTGTCTCTGGCTTGTCCCCAAAACAAAACAGAGATTTTCCTCTGCAGTAAGAATAAAGCAGGGCCAGGGAGAGAGCTCAGTGGGTTTCTGGGTATTCTGTGGCACTTGCCACCACCAAACAACCTGAGTTCAGTTTCACCGAGATCCGCATGACTGAAGGAGGGAACATACTCCACAAGCTGAGAGAGACCCTGTCTCAAAACAAAACAAACAAAAAACTAGTTTGTGTACTAATGAGGTAAGTGCTCTTTTAATTTTTGCCCAAAGAAATCTTAGCTGAAGAATTGATACTACAGGACAGAGCATCGTCAGTATTTTTCAGTTCATCAATATGTTGATTAATCATATATACTATGAACCCCTCTTTACATAAATATGTAGCACAAAATGGCAGAAATATGTTGTCTTAGCTTTCTGTTGCTGTGGTAAACCACCATAACCAAAAGGAACTTGGAGAGGAAAGGGTTTATTTGTTTTACGCATCCTGATTCATGGTCCATCACGAAGGGAATTCAGGGCAGCAACTCAGGCCAGGAACCTGGAGGCAGGAACTGAAACAGAGAACGAGGAGAAGTGCTGCTTTTTGACCTGCTTCCCACAGCTTGCTCAGACACTTTCTTATTAACCCTTGACATGCCCCAGGTGGCACTGCTAACAGTGGGCTGGGCTCTCCTGTGTCAATTATCAGTCAAGAAATTGCCCAAAGATTTTCCCACAGGCCATCTGATGGAGGTGTCTTCTCAACCGCGGTTTCTCAATTGAGAATGACGCTAACTCGTGTCAAGCTGACAGAAAAATCAGCCAGGACATATATCTAACACTAATTCAGAGATCCTTGAAAATTTTACTGATTTGAAAAAAAAAAAAAATATATATATATACATATATATAATTCATATATATACATATATATATGAAACTTAAGTCAGCCACTCAAACAGCATTTTAAAAACTCAAACAGTTTAACAATACAATCCAAAGACAGACTATTTTGACACTTACAGGCTAGGGAATGATGATAAGAAATAGTAAAAGTTTTTTTGTTTTGTTTTGTTTTTGGTTTTTGGTTGTTTTTGTTTTTGTTGTTGTTGTTTTTTTTTTGAGGCAGAGTTTCTCTGTACAGCCCTGCCTGTCCTGAAACTCACTCTGTTGACGAGGCTGGCCTCAAACTCACATTGGTCCCTCTGCCTCTGCTTCCCAAGTGCTGGGATTAAGTGTGTGCCACCATCATGCAGCTGATTTTTCCCCATAATTAAAGCATTATGTTTCTATAAGAGCAACCTACTTTACAATACAGTCAGAACACTGCAGTTCACAACATGTAATAGTCTTGAATCTGAGCTAAGGTGTTTTGCACACCATTGTTGGTGTTTCACGGTGTGACAGCAAGCACAGTGAAAAATTGTACATTGTGTACAACTTCACTGCCAAGGCTACCATGAAGCCCTATGATACAACAGGAGTTAGCATGTCCAAAAACACCTCACGCTCTTCATAGATTTGATTTGAAATGAGTTTTTTGACCATTGCACATTCAGAAATGTTTTACTATTGCCACTTGGAGTGTGTATCCCTAATTCCCAGCAATCTGTTCTATTACCCCCATTTGGGCTCATCACTCACAGTTTAAGAATCTGGGCCCTAGGACTAAAGAAATGGCTTAGTAGTTAAGAGTACTGACTACTATTTTAGAGAACCTAG